TCGCTATCTTGCTTCGTTCTCGGATCTCAGGGGGGCGGTCATCCGCCCCCCCCCCCCGTCGGTACTAAGTTGGCGCAGACCCCCGTCGGTGCGCGGGTTAACACATTAGGTTAATTTTTAACTTCAATGTTGAATGTTAAAATTTTGATCCGTTTTGATCCGGGTTCAACCTTCAATTCCCAAATCCGGCCCGCCCATATCCGTTCTTTTTTAACAAATTTAGAATCCAATCCTATCCGGTCCGCGGATTTATCCGTGGATAACGGATTTATCCGGCCCATGAAGTGCTCTATTGTCCACCGATCAGAGCAGAAAAGCATTTGGAACTCACTCTTGTATCCGAGATTTCGAAGTTATGCTATAGCATAACTGTGCCACCTTCGTATATACGACGGCGGCGCAACGTATCGACATAAAGTCAACAAAACGTAAAATGACGGACCTTCCGGCAACCTTGCTGACGCACGCTTGTAACGTTGCCATAGCGACCTGACAACGTTGTATACCATAACTTACCGAAATGCAACGTTTTGACAACGTTGTACCAACGACATCCGTGAGCTAGGCAGGACCCTGAAACCTAATGACGACTTCACTGTACCAAGTTCTAGCAGCGTCCAATTTTTACGACCTTTGGGTCATTGACCTGACCTGGAAGATCAACCAATGACCTAGGACAAATTTGTGTAGAATCGGCTTCCTCTGGACACATACAATATGCTCGTTTTTTTTTTGCGAAGCTTTATTTTCGTTAGCAAAGTATCGCTATCCAACATTGTTATCTGCCGTTATCGACCGTTAATCTACTGGATATTGCCGAAAAACGGTTATGGGCAGATTCTGCCCCCCCCCCCCCACCCCCACCGGCGAGGGTCAGCGTAGCAAAATAACGCATGAAAAAAAAACGATAGAACTTGCATGTATTTATTGTGAGCAATCTCAAGCAGCAAAAGCATTCTCATGCGAGTGAAGTGTAGAACTCTTGTCCTGTAAGAAAGCAAAAAAAAAAAAAAAACGCGTAGCTCATTTACCTTTCTCTGATACAGGTGCCCTAAAAGTATGTTTGCATACTTTCGCGCTCATACATCATTCACAAATTTGTAGACAATGTGAAAAAAAAAAACACTTATCCCTTATCCCTATAGCCGTACACAACATCGGCACTTAGCCATTAATTACACTTGTTTCTCACGTCAAACAGTTTCTATTACACTTGTTTCTCACGTCAACCAGTTTCTATCACATTTACACCCAGAAGCAAATTTCACAGCACACACCATGTGAATGCACAGTCTCTCACAAAAGTACCGATACACAGACAATGTGAGGGGCGGTGAACCACCGGCTACACTCGCCCCGCCCCCCCCCCCCCCCCGCCATCGTCACCCATCCCCAGGTCAGGGGGTTCGGTGGCCCTCAAACTTGGCAGTCCTCCCTCGGTCGGGTTTGTTGACACCGCCGCTCGGTGTATCGCTACGAGACACTGAGCGCACTAATAACTCTTCAGTTTTCACAGGCGTCGTTCGAAAGGTAAAGGACATATGGTGCGTTCATTCTAACGATTCCGTAGAGCAGGGTGCTCTAACGGATAAGGCTGGATAAGGCAACATGATCATCTAACTGTGCATCTTATCCATATTTTTATTCCCTAAGCCACACAATCTCTAATATTGCTCACATCATTTGAATGATTTTCACCGAACTATCACGTCATTGTTTCTCATCATACATGATACAGGAAACACATAAGCAGAAGCAGCATAGTAAGAACAAGCAGACATTGTGTTCGACCCCACCGTGTCCACCTGGTGCACGCTGGTGCTGAAGGAGCGCAGCTTCACCAGCTCCCAGTTGGTGATAAAGCCCGGCAGACTGTCGTCCCATTTGTCCGTCACCTCGGCGTCTTGTGATGAGCCAATCAGAAGGGAAACGAGCCTGCCGGACGAGGTAGGTATGACGTCATTACTACGACTATTAGTTTGGACTATAAGTAATGCCGTATTGCCGCATTCTTTTGTTAGCTTATATAGAAATACATTTTTAAATAAGTATGTCTTGAAAAAAAAAACAAGCTAACCTAACCTTACTTGTCCAAGCAGTATTGTTGACAATTTGTAATAAGAACATTCTCCTTTCACAGTGGATTGTCACATAGGCGCTCTCTCACGTGGGAACGTGAGGCGCACAGTGACGTCAGCAGAGGAATTAATGGAGTATGAAAATAAGTGACGTCATCACAGGTCTCCAATGACATCTATAGAATGCAGTTTGGGGTATATACAAGTGACAAGAACAGACAAAATGACAAAACAGTGATGTCACTGAGACGTGGAACAAAGTGACGTCACGGGAGTAGTACGGTAAGGCATCTCATCTCGGGCAGTGACCTTCAAATCCACCGCTAAATTGTCAGAACTCAGACTTCAGAGTGTTCTATTTGTTCGCACTACTTTCGCCTTTCTAAGATATTGGTCGCAACGACTCATCGCTGAGGTGCGTGCTAATTGATGACAAAATGTTGTGATGTTAAATGTTCTACCCTCTGCCGTTGCCGTGTCATACTGATATCGCATGGTGAGGATACGATGGTGATGCCACCTAGTTTGGAAAGTGCTGCCACCTGGTGTACTCACCGAGAATGATCACCGCTGATACCGCTGTAGGTGTCTGCGAGTTGTTACAAGTGATGATCGTATCTAGTGTTTGGGGTCCCTCACAACCTTGATGTTGCCGGTCTGAGACGGTATGCTCAGCCTGTCATAAACGGCTCCTGCGGATAAGACAACGAAAGAGAGGTTACACATAACATCTCATACACAATGAGGAAAATTCTTTTCATGGTTCAAAATAAGTACGAAGTACGAACCAGTATAACGCCTTTTGGGGCGACTAACGGAGCGAGCGAGAGGGTGAGCCTTGCACGTGCGAAATTTCGAGGGGGTACCTCCAACTGACTTGTGCACGGCACCCTACTAACTGGTCTCTAGCGATGTGCCAAATTTGAGCACAATCGGCCCAGCCGTTCTCGAGATCTGGAAGCGGCACCCTGCACGTGCGCACGTGCAAAATGGGTCCCAACTGACCTTTGCACGGCACCCTACTAACTGGTCCCTTACCGTGTACCAAATTTGAGCGCCATCGGTTCAGCCGTTCCCGAGATCTGGAAACGACCCCTTGCACGTGCGCACGTGCAGCAGCACCCCAACTCTGGCACGTGGATATGCAGTGCCTAGTGGGTGCCTACCTACATGCCAACTTTCAGCGCAATCAGCCAAGTAGTTACCGAGATATTGCAACAATTACAAAACTGACACCTCTTCGTTTTGCACGTGGCACGTGCATAAGGGGTCACCCACATGCATCGGGAATAGTCCAATACTTGGTAGAAGGAATGAAGCTACCCTACAAAAATTACCGCATGTAAATCGGTCAAGTGGCTGTATTGTATATTGTATTGTATTGTATTTACATTTAAGAGCGATCCACATACAAAGTGCGTGGCGATTACTGCTCGTGGCGGCTGCTGAGATATAAGCCTCGCAAAAGCGTCCGCACGGCCGGCCGGCCGGCCGGCCGGCCGCTCATACTCAGAAATTTCCGTTAATCTAAGGAAAGACTACGCTCGCTTCGCTCGCTCCGTAACAAAAGTTTTGTTTGACGTGATATGATTTAACACATCACCAATTTTGGACTTCTGACGTGACGCCTCAGAATGGCAAAAAACAGCACGGGTGAGCACATACTGTCTCATGCAGTAACTAAATGCAAAAGTAGGTACAGCTATATCAACCAGACACAAATGGTCATGCTGGATAGGTTCATTTATTTTCACAAGTCCGACACCAGTCTGAGTCACAAAACTGGTTTGTGGTATATATCTGCGTAAGCCCAATTCAGCACCAAAGACATGTAACAATGACAGTACCTACGTGAACTCTATGTAGTTACGTCCCGGGTAACCACATGAATATGGTAGTTCCAATCACACAACTGCACACTGTATGTAGTACCTTATACACAGAGTTGCACAAAAAACAGTGAAGACCACAATACGGTGAAAATGTCCATAACACCAATTCATACCACACACCGCGTCAGAGCCCAAGCCAAAAGCCATACCAATTACCTACCTAAATATGAGTGACGTCATCTTACTATACTGGCTAACCTTTCAATAGGTATCAGCTAGTGATTGGTGTGTTCATATTCTAACAGCCACTCACGCCACACATAAGGGTAGTCACATATCTAGTAATATGAATAACATCACTACCTATACTGTTTATATCAATTGTGACGTCACATCAGCGTCATGTGTTCATCTCGACTCGACCCGTTGAGAGAGTGAACGACAGCGGCTCCGAGAGGCCGGTGGCGCCGAGCAGTCTGTTTGGGACTGATCAGAGGCGCTGGGCGGCTCCGTCACTTACCTGGGACCTGGAACTCCAGTGTCCTCGGCTTGCCGTCATCTCCTTTCCCCAGGTCTACCCGGACCAGGGCGTCCAGGACCGACTGACTGAGCTCCTCCGTTGTGTCAAGAATCAGACACTTCAGTCTCCGACAGGTAACCACCAGTCTGCAACAGAACGGGACACAGGCCAGTCAGCGACACCAGCCGGCCGACCGGCCGTCTGGAAGGGACGGGTCCGGTCTCCACAGGGCCACAAGTCCAGTCCGGTCCGGCCCCGATGCCGTGCGTCAGCTAATAGCTATAGTGATTGCAAACTACTATGGGTCTGTATGCTCGTTATAGTGACAATAGCCGTTTTCACGACGGGCTATCCGGCGAATGCACCTGGTTTGACCAAATATGCAACTAATCTCTTTATCAGCGAATATCTTCATGTTATCAGTGTTTAAATTGATAATACTCTCTGATAATATAACAAAGCAGGCATATAAGCAATTAGGACAACCCTAGCTGATAGCTGCTAACAGACACACTAAGCCTAATTTGACCAAATCTGCACCTAATATGCACCAAATGTGCACCAAATGTGTACCAGATGATGGCCGCCATGACAAGTAAAACGGCTAATACATACCAATACCAAGGCTCGAAGCACAATGTATTGTAACAGTGAACACACTACATACACATGCAGACAAGCGGTAGCATGCATTGGTCCCGTCTAGCTAGTTCTGAGTCTGGTGTGGTCTGGTTCTGGTCTAGGTCTGGTCTGGGTCTGGTCTGGGTCTGGTCTGGGTCTGGTCTGGTCTGGGTCTGGTCTGGGTCTGGTCTGGGTCTGGTCTGGGTCTGGTCTGGGTCTGGTCTGGGTCTGGTCTGGGTCTGGTCTGGGTCTGGTCTGGGTCTGGTCTGGGTCTGGTCTGGGTCTGGTCTAGGTCTAGTCTGGGTCTGGTCTGAGTGAACAGCTAACTGACCTGCTGACCGCTGTGACCGGTATATCCGTACAGAGTACACTGGGCGTTCCCAGCTGCATTAAACGTAGCTGGGAGCAGCCGTGGAGGGCGGCCAGTGAGGCGTCAGTGATGGCGCCGGACAGAGTGCCGCTAAGTGTGACGTCTTTCAGGCCGGTGAGGGCGGACAGCAGCCTCTGCAGGGCCCCGGCAGTGACACGCGGGCAGTCTGGGAAACACAGTCACATACAGACATGGTAGGTGAATGGTGTGGGAACTGCTACGCTACTCGCTAGCACGTGCTGAGACATAGCCAGGTATGACACTACATGCTGCATTCGAGCTGACTGTTAATAGCACGAGCAGTATATAGTGATAATGAACACATTTAATATTATTTGTATGTATATTTGTGTATATGTAAGTACGTATGCATGTATGTATGTATGTACAGTTTATGTATGTATCTGCAAAGAAGTAGCTATACACGCATGCATGTATACCTATATGTATATGCATTCTGTGTACAAGTAATGATGCCTACTAATGAAGAGCTGCCAAGCAGACAATGAAACAACACATCCACATAACTGGTGATTGGTGATTGGTTATGCATTTATATGGAGCACTCACCACAGGTCGCCAACACCATGTTGGCGACAACACTTCCACACACCCCACGGAAATGAATACCTATCGACGCATCCGGCATATCCGTCATTTACATACATATAATATACCAAATATACCAGCAAAAAGTATCTGACATGACTTTTACTCTTATCACAGTTCGTGCTTCACCTCTCCCCGAACGGTGTTGCCGTGCTTAGTTGGTATATGGTGTTCGTCAGTATACCCAACCACACATAACGATAACCTGTCCGTGTCACCGCCACTCACTGAACATATTCAGCCCGGTAACCCGTGATCCCAGCTCCTTGGCTAGCTGGTCGATGACGTCATCTCCCGCCTGTATTATGACGACCACCAGCCTATGGTCTGGTGGTCGTCTTACCAGAGTCTGCGGCTCCCCCGTCTCCCCCGGTCCTGTCGGAGGGAGAGCTGTGTCAGCTGACTGCAGTCGGACGGAGCTGCTGCCGGGTTGGGAGGTGACTGACATTATGGTGTCAAACACAGACACGGCCGACACTGACACCGACACAGGAGAATCGTCACTGATGGAAATGAAACGGGCAATGTCTGTATACAGGCACACATCTTCGTATAGCTTGATAGATCCCAATTTATGTCAAAATATATATGTAGGTATTGAGCGCTCTTGGTGATATTTCAAAACTATCTGCATCATGAGAACACGTTACCAGGGTTAGCATAATGTATTGATCTATTTCCAATAATATGTTTTGAAGCAAGTTTTCATTCTTTATAAATAATCTTAACCCGGCAGGCGGTGGGCCTACCAGCCACCTTCCGCGCGGTGGGGGGGGGCATTTTTTTTGCCCCCCAGTATCTCCGAAACTACTGGACGGATCCGGAAAATTCAAACGGCGTTCGATAGCCCTGTCAAATTTGTCGAGGGAAACCAAATTTCATTGACCTCGGGGTCACCGATGACGTCACAGGTCAGGTCAAAGATAAAATGTTTCACCGTTCACGGGCTTCTAGGGAAAGCGCTATAACACCGAGTAAAACGCATTTTGTCGAAAATCAGCGATAAGGCGTCAGTTGTCTAGTACATATGTTGCTATTAGAGGTCACTGATCATACCAGGTCAGGTCACAGGTCAGGTCACCAAAGGTCACCAAGGGTCACCACATGAGCCCAACTTTACTAAGGTTATGCGATGCATGTTTTATGGCCAGTTTTTTTATTTCCAACTCAATGGTGTTGGTTATAAAACCACCAGGTACGGTTTAGGTCACTTTCTGGTGGAGGTCAGGTCAAGGTCAGGTCAAAAAAGGTCAAATTTCAAAGTTGATATTTTTGCATAAAATAGGTATCGATTCGATGCAGCTCGTCACGGGGAGTCTAATGGTGGTCTTTGTTTTGCGCTACGAGGTCTAGAATTGCTAAAAATTGAGTTTGAAAATTTGAAGTCATCAATTTTGAACAGTTTTTTCGCTATAACTTGGCCAAAAAACGAGGTATCGATCTCAAATTTGGTATGTAGATAGAAGGCGGTAGGGACTATCACATATATTCCGGTTTTTTCGAAATTCAAAAAACTTTTTGGATTTTTTGGCTATTATATTCAAAAAATCTATTTTTTTGATTTTTGGGGGTCAAAATCCAAAAAATTCGAAAAACCGTAATAGCAGTTTTGTAGCCCTTTTGATTCCACACCTTTTATGTCTAAAACATTTTTCTGTATCTCTAAAGCTGTAGGCCTGACAGCTCTTCCCGCGAAACCTTTTTTTGGGTCGAAAATGGCAAAAATGACGTCACTCTTACGTCATTAGCGGCCAACCTATCATAGCCTTTGGAAAAATTTTTGGTCACCATGTGCGCTAGCTGCTCCCGGGAGGGTACTGAAAGTTTGGTGACGATCGGCGCAGCGGTTCTCGAGATATTTTGAAAAAACTAAAGGGGGGCAAAAAATGCCCCCCCCCACCGCCTGGAAGGTTAACCCTCGCCGGCCTAAGGGGGGGCGGGTGCCCCCCCCATAGGGTTTTTCGCGATAGCTCCGAACACGCTGGCGATAGAGAGCTGAAACTTGGCATACCTGACCTTTGATCCAAGCCGGAGGATCTTTTGACACCAACCGCATTTTTGGGTCAGGTTAGGTCACTGACCTATGACGTCATAAGTGAACCTAGATATGCTACATGTGCCAAGAATCAAATCGGAGTCCGGGAGGAGACGATTCCTCTTTACCGCCGTGACAGCTTTTAATAGCCTACCACCGGCGATGTGTGACCTGAACCTGCGCGCGTTCAAGGCAGAGTTGCGCCGGCACTTGTTGCGACAACAGGCGGCTGACCGTTAGCAATGCTTCATGACGACACGTTTGTGAGAGAGTGACTGCGAACGAATGTCTGTCTGTGTGCGTGCGTGCGTATGTTTTTCCCACGACACCCATCATTTTATATTGCGACCCTGGTTCAGGAATAGCCATTTTTGTGGAATGAGCCTACGATGTCAAATAAATAAATAAATAAATAAATAAACCTCTACACGGTCTTCAGATGTCGCAACTTCGCAACGCCCTCACTGCCAGAGGAGATGTCACAGGGAAATGAAACTTGCAGAATCTAGTATCCATTATGAGTCCCACAACTTGTATATCTCGGATTTTTCCTAAAGGTCATGTGAGGTCAGGTCATTTTCGTGACCTCACCATTATAAGTCAATGGGGAAAAATGAAAACTGCTATTCTGGCGCCGGGAACGATCTCCAACTATCTCAAGCACACAGAATCGTGATTTGATGCACTCCTTGCAAGGTTAGATGCGTCACTTTTGCAATGTTGACCTTGCGTGACGTCATTTATGACGTCATCAAGGTCATATTAGTTTTTCGTCAATAACTCTTGATCAAATTGAGCTAGCGAGTCGGGGAAGCCACCAATGGACTCGGGAAGACCTGCCGAATCGAATGATATGCGACATGACCTCTTTCGACCAACTTCGTGATCTGGGGGTGCTGACCTGACCTTGACCTGATGTCAACACCCCAAGTTGACCTGACCCGAACAAAAGTATATCATTCGACGCGCCTGAGCGAGACGAACACGATGCTGCCAAAATCGCGGCGCTGCGACCGTTTTTTGCGAAGTTATTCACCAAAAACTGAACCGTACCTTGGGGCACTTGACCTGACCTCAGAGGTCACCGGTTGACCTAGGACCTTAAATCGGGTACCAATCTCTGCGTCTCGTAACGGCGCACACGCTCGTTTTTCCGCGACGCGCTAGCTCCACCAGGGGCGAAACGGCGAGGGGGGGGTCGTACCCGCCCCCCCCCCCTCGGCCGGCGCGTATGTAGAAAACCAATAGGTCCGGCGAGGGTAAAGGATTTTGACACATGTTACATCGAACACACATTTTCGCTGTGGTGCTGCTAATGCCTACATAGTCCATAATCACATACTGTTTTTGTGAATAGCTTGGGTATCATTGCATATGAAAGCGGACCTGCTGAATAGATATTTGCAATCTACATGCATAGCTGCAATAGCAATGCTAAGCGCTATCCTCACCACACAACAGTGTGATTACATGTTCCATCAATGAAATCTCACCTTTAACGTATAGCGTCCGCAAGGAGGGCGGCAGCAGCCGCAGCCACCGTCCCGTCGAGTCAGGCGGCACGGAGACCGTGAGCTCCTCCAAGGTTCGGAGGTACTCCAAAACCATGATCACCTGCTTCTCGCTATGACCCGGTGGAAATATAAACTGCTTCTCAGTCAAGAGTCCCTGCTTCTGGACAGCGACCACACCGCCCGTAGATGATTGGGTCCGCATCGAGACGTCACTGGCTGCCGGTGACCTAGGCAATGTCCGCATCGAGACGTCACTGGCCGCAGGTGATCCGGTCAATATCCGCATCGAGACGTCACTGGCCGCAGGTGACCTAGGCAATGTCCGCATCGAGACGTCACTGGCTGCCGGTGACCTAGGCAATGTCCGCATCGAGACGTCACTGTCCACTGGCGACTGGGCCCCTCTTTGCGCTGCGTCGTTGATGGTTTCCGTAGAGAGGCTGCAAAGGTGAAAAAGAATAACGTGAACAAGTTTTTATTTAAACCTCGCACCTACAAAGAAGCAAAGAAGGGGAGGGCGTCAGTTGAACCCATTCAGTTTTTCGCAAAAAAGCAACTAATTCAGTTATAGGTAAGCATAACTGTTGTTGATCATTATCTTCGAAACAGTAGTCCTGTTTTTGTTTGTTTTCTTGATGCTCGAAAGGCTTTTGACCGGGTTAACCATTGGACCTTGTTTGATAAACTCTTGCGTCGAGGTGTTGATGCCACTATTGTACAACTATTAGCTTCGTGGTATAGTTCGCAAACATTTCGTGTGATGTGGGGCACCTGTTTGTCGGAAGGCTTTCATGTGTCCAATGGCGTCAGGCAGGGTGGTATCTTATCCCCATATCTTTTCAACGTGTACATTGATGAGCTGTCTAAAAAATTAGACAGTGGTGGTGCTGGTTGTCATTATTTGGGCAGTGTTCATCACCTTTGTTATGCAGATGACATGGTACTGCTATCGCCAACGCCTCAAGGAATGCAAAAATTGCTTGACATTTGTGCTAGATATGCCGATGCACATGATATTGTTTTCAATGTTAAAAAGACGGTATGCATGGCTATTCTGCCCAATTTGTTTAAAAATATGTCTTTACCAGATATAGTCTTGAATGGTACTGTGCTTAATTATGTGAATAGGTATAAACTAGGGTGACCCGCGTGCTCCGCAACGCGAAAAGGGATATTTTCGATCGGTGGGTGTTCGGTTGTTCTTGTGTCGGTTGGGTTATCTATCCATTTCGGTCGATTGCTTTTTGACGGCTAAACGTTTTGGTTTGTGGAAAAAATATCCACCGCATCGAGGTGCCCGTGTCTGATAAGCATGCTTTCCACTTCAGAATCTGTCAAATGTGCTTTATAATTGAGGTGCGTAGTTTTAAGACAAATGAAAGGCGTAGATAATTTTCGCTAAAAATCGTTTTGCAGAGGTTTAAAACATTTATATTTTTAAGAATACTGTTGCTTGTCATGCAAACGTGATGATTGGATCTTGGAGAGAATTGAATGCTCTTTCTAATGATAGCATTTTCAATTGTCAAGTGTATCAGGTTAAGCAGCAAATCCCGTGTATCTTTTTAGTGGCACATTATGGACAAATACCATTTTAATTCAGCGATTTTTCCACATTGTTTTTGATCAATTAGCTGTCCACAATTTTTCCATGAGAGGCGGTACATTTCTCTTGGCAATTGACGTTGTTTCAACTCTCTCAGTCTGATGGTCACGGGAAAATAAAATAAAATCCAAAATCCGTTTAAAATGGCACTTTTTGAAATGAAATTGCCCTCACACTTGCACGTGGCGCGTGCCACCCCTGCACCGCACACTATTCGATTGCCCGTTCGATTCTCTACACGATGCTGTTTTCCCCGTGCCGATCGGGCGCACGGCTACCGAGATATTGCACGGGGAACGGACCCGTGTCGGGCAAATTTAGCCATTTTCGCCCGTTTTTGCCAGCCGATTTATACATGTAAAGTCTATGACGCGAATTTGCACTTTTTGGGCACGCGCCACGCGCTCGCTATCGATCCGATCGAGCCGAGACCGCTCAAAGGCACGTTGTCCATCCTTGTTCTATAACTTGCGCAAATTTCAGCGCGGTAGGTGCAACGGTGTGACCTGTAACCCGCGCTACGTAGCACCATGTCGCGACCTTCGTAATAGACAGAAACTACGCCTTCCTCAAATAGTAATATAGACAAGCGGCTGCGCCACTTGCTTTGCTGCGTGGTAGAAAAAATTGCGGCACCAGCCAATTTGCTTTTGAATGGTGTTTGATTCATGTCGATGTGTCGTCTAGAAGCATAGATATGGACGGAAATGTGAAGAGGATTTAAGAAAGGACTGTTCTGAGGGCGTTGCTGGATGAAATTTGGGTGATACGGGGTCAAGACGGGTCAAAGGGGTCAGCCCCGGTCACTTTGGGTGAGGCCAGGTCACATAGGTCACCTCTCGTCCGATGGGATCAGCCCGGGCCACTGTTCTACTTTTGCCTCCACCACTACCCCTACCCCTACCACTACCCCTACCACTACCCCTACCACTACCCCTACCACTACCCCTACCCCTAAATCTACCACTACCACTACGCCTACCCCTACCACTACTACTACACATACTCCTACCCCTACCACTACCCCTACCACTACCCCTACCACTACCCCTACTACTACCCTACCCCTACTACTACCCCTACAACTACCACTACCCCTACCCCTACTCCTACCTCCTACCACTACCACTACCCCTACCACTACCACTACCTACCACTGGGTCATGTCAGGTCACATAATAATTAAATTGCGGCAACAGCCAATTTGCTTTCGAATGGTGTTTGATTCATGTCGATGTGTTGTCTAGAAGCATAGATATGGACGGAAATGTGAAGAGAATTTAAAAAATAACTGTTCTGAGGGCGTTGTTGGATGAAATTTGGGTGATACGGGGTCAATACGGGTCAAAGGGGTCAGTCCCGGTCACTTTGGGTCAGGCCAGGTCACATAGGTCACCTCTCGTCTGCTGGGATCAGCCCGGGCCACTGTTCTGCTTTTGCCTCTACCACTACCCCTACCCCTACCACTACCACTACCCCTACCACTATCCCTACCACTACCCCTACTCCTACCCCTACCCCTACCCCTACCCCTACCACTACATCTACCCCTACTACTACCCATACTCCTACCCCTACCACTACCCCTACCACTACCCCTACCACTACCCCTACCACTACCCCTACTACTACCCCTACTATGTACTACCCCTACCACTACTACTACCCCTACCACTACCCCTTCCCCTACTACTACTCCTACCACTACCCCTACCCCTACCCTACCCCTACCACTACCCCTACCACTACCCCTACCACTACCCCTACCCCTACCCCTACCCCTACCAACACCGCCGGGTCATGTCAGGTCACAGAATAATTGGATCCAATCAGTAGTAAAATATCAGACTTAAAGTGTCCCCAGCCCTGTCCCTATTCGTGCCATTCCATTACGCTTAATCGTTTTTGTCGGAAATGGCGCTTTGTGACAAATGAGGCGCATTGCAGCAAACGTGGCGCATTTTCACCCGGTGATTGAGCATGCATCTTTGCACCAAATTGCGCCCATATCGGACCATATTTAACAAAACTGTGCGATTTGCGACAAAAATGACGCCCTGAGATAATTATGGCGCATGGCGGCAAACGCGGTGAATTTGTAAAATCGTATCACAAACTGTTCCCATCGAACGAAAATCAACACATTCTCTCGCCACTTTTTATTCAAATTAAAAACTTGCCCATCCGCCAATGCGAGGCACCCGCCACCGATCGGCATGCATTTAGTCCACAAAGTTTGTCGACCCCGGCTCTCAATGAAGATCTACGAACCGATCAAAATTTCATTGGCGTTCTTCCAGCGCGCCCCACGCGCGAATCGTGCACCCCAGCGAGTCGGAACCTAGAAAAGGCGCTGACCCGTTCTGTCACCTATAAGGTGTGCAAATTTCAGCCCCCTACGTCGTACCGTCTGCCCTGTAGCCGTAACAAATTGAACCCACTACACGATGTGCGGACACACAGACTCACAGACAGACGGATTCTGTTCGAATAGTAAGTTAGACAAGCGGCTGCGCCACTTGCTTCGCGGCGTAGCCATAAAATACGCAGCAGCCAGTTTGCTTTCGAATGGTGTTTGATTCATACCGATGAGCCGTCTGGAAGCAGATATATAAAGGAATTTTCTGATGGCTTAGTTTGATAAAATTTGGGTCATACGGGGTCAAGTCAGGTCAAGTCGGTCACCCTGGTCACACTGGGTCAGGCCAGGTCACCTTCGGTCAGGCCAGGTCGTATAGGTCACCACGTCACATTGGATCGGCCTGTACCACACTTCTACTAATTCTACCCATACCACTACTCCTACCACTACCCCTACCACTACCCCTACCACTACCCCTACCCCTACCAATACCCCTACCAATACCCCTACCACTACTCCTACCACTACCCCTACCACTACCTCTACCACTACCCCTACCACTACCGGCACTACCCCTACCACTACCCCTACTACTACCACTACCCCTACTTCTACCCCTACCACTACTACTACCCCTACCACTACCACTACCCCTACCACTACCCTACTACTACCCCTGCTACTACCCCTACTACTACCCCTACCACTACCCCTACGACTACCCCTACTTCTACCCCTAACACTACCCCTACCACTACCCTTAATACTACCACTACCCCTAACGCTACTCCTACCAATACTACTACCACTTCACTACCACCACTACCACTGGGTCATGTGAGGTCACAGATTATCATTTAAACTGATGAACTAAAAAAGAGTTCCTTACCGTGCTCCTGCTCGTGTAATTCCATTATTCTTAATCATATTTGGTGGAAATAGCGCCTTGTGACGAATGTGGCGCGTTGCGACAAACGTGGCGCATTTGTACCTGTTATTTTGCCATGCATCCTTCCACCGCATTGCACCTTTATCGGACCATATTTGACAAAGTTGTGCGATTTGCGGCAAAAATAGCGCATGTGGACAAATGTGGCTCACTACGGCAAACGCGGTGCATTTGTGTAAGCGCATTGAAAACTGTCTTTCTTTTCCGAAAATCAACACCTTCATTCGCCTCTGTTTAGCAAAATAAATAACTTGCCAATCTGCAACTGAGAGGCACCCACCGCCGATCGTCATGCATTTTATTGTCAAAGGCGAATGAACCCGGCTGCCGATGCCTTGAAGCAAGCTTGAGAGCCGAGCAAAATTTGGAGAAAATGCACCTTTTTCCAGCGCGTGCCACGTGCGAACCATCCACCCCCCGGGACTCGAAATACGACACTGCACGTGCCCGTGACGTCATC